CTTTGCTTTTTACTCTGAGAGAAACAGGGAGGCCTTGGTGTGGAGCTCTGCCGGCCATGTCCAGGAAGCGTGTAAAGGAGGAGAGAGACGGCAGGTGGTCTGCACCTCCAGTGCACCCAGGCCTCGTTCCGCATGGGAATGAGTCCTATGGGGCATTTGCTCCCATTGTGTTAACCCAAATGCTGCTCTCCCAGGCTCTGCCCCAGACGCTTCAGTTTCTCGTGGCCCCAGGTCTCTGCATTTTATTCTGCGCGCTCTGAAGATGTCCCATGTCCGTTTCCTCCAGCTCTGGTCCCTGACTTCCTCCCTCGGTTTTCTACCTCCTTACAACTCTGATCCCTCTACCAAATCCACGTGATCTAGGAGCTGCAAACATTCCTTGAGCCCCTACTTAATCTATTAAAATGCTTCTGACTGCCAATACCAGAAACACCAATTTACAGCAGCTTAAACAGAAAAAGCCACTATCACAGACGAGATGAAGCTGAAGAGGGAGAGAAGGAAGGCAATCAGGCATGCCACATCTTTATGCAATTTTATATATTTTTTAAGATTAAATAAAGCAGGCTTTCTTTTGGAAGTATATGCTTCTCAAGGACTCCACTCTGCCTTGTATGCTAAAAGCAGCTTAGAAGGTTTTCTATAAGAATCTGCTTAGGAACCCCCCTCCGTGGCTGTGCCTTGCAATGAAATGTGCCACTATCAGTTTCCTGAAGCCTCTTGTTTTATCGTAATGAGATTTTAGAGTTGGCAACATGCTGAACAGGGGAGAGATGGGCCCCCCTCCTCCAATGAGTCAGCACTTACTGCTTCTCTGATTCTGGCAGGATCTCCGTGGTTAGATTCAGGGGCAAGCAAACCAGCTTGCCTCTGAGCTGTGAAACTTCATCAGCACACAGTGACATCTGTTATCTGGAGCCCAGCTCACATGCTTTCTGGAGTAGCCAAAATGGCCCTGCAAGAGCTCCAGCACTTCATGGTTAAAGAGCATGGGCTTTGAAGTCAAGAGGCCTCATTTCACATCCCTGTTCTGCCATTTACTAGCTGTGTGGTTTTGAGCAAGTTATGGAACCTCTCTGAGCCATGGTCTCCTTATTTGAAATAGTGATATAGCCACCTGAAAAGTGTTGGAAGAGTTAAAGGAGATAATACACATAAGTGGTCAGTATAGAGCTGAATGCAAATGAAGCTTTCAATAAATGGTAGCTGTTATTATTATCTGGCCCCCGCAAACTTCTTCCTTTATGGGCACAGCATTCTGGCCACAGGGACTATATGGGTAAGGACTCCTGTTTGCAAGAAGTCAAACCTCATTTCAAAGCAGGTTAGGGAAAAAGGGGACATTTATTGGCTTGGCTAACTGGGACACCCAGGGAGTCAGAGCTTGAAGCATTCTACTTGTCCCTTCATTCTCTCCAGTGGGACTGGATGGTTTTCCTTCATGGAGTGGAGGGGGTGGGGGCACGTGGACAAGGACCATTCTAGGCTTACATCATCTCAAAAAGTTAGCTGAATGAATGTCATCTAAAATCATAAGTGAATTGGGCCGGCCGAGTGGCGCGTTGGTTAAGAGCTGGCTTGGGACGCCAGCTCTGAGCAGCAGGGCCCCAGTTCGGATCCCACATGAGGGCCAGT